GCGTGCTGCCCCTCACTCCTCCCAGTTTCCTCCGACAGAGGCCCCGTTGCAGACGACTCACATGGACGTGTGGGGCCCAGCCCGCGTCCGTGGACAGGGTCACGAGCGCTACTTCCTGCTAGTTGTTGACGACTACTCGCGTTACACCGCAGTCTTCCCCTTGCGCAGCAAGGGTGATGTCAATGAGGTGCTGATCGACTGGATCCGCGCAGCTCGTCTCCAGCTCAGGCAGAGCTTTGTCTCGGACTTTCCTGTTCTGCGTCTACACTCGGACAGAGGCGGAGAGTTTTCCTCTGGCCTTCTGAGAGCCTACTGTCGCGCACGGGGCATCCGTCAGACCTTCACGCTTCCGGACTCTCTGCAGCAAAATGGGATTGCTGAGCGCCGCATTGGCATGGTCATGGACGTCGCTCGTACGTCTATGATGCATGCGGCTGCCCCCCATTTTCTGTGGCCGTTTGCGGTGAGGTACGCGGCGCATCAGATCAACCTTCACCCCAGGGTCTCCAGGCCGGAGACCTCCCCAGCCTTGCTGTGGACGGGGAAGGTTGGCGATGCGTCGGCGTTCCGGGTCTGGGGATCTCGGGCGTTTGTCCGCGACTTGTCTGCGGACAAGCTGTCCCCTCGTGCTGCTCCTTGCGTCTTCCTGGGGTTCCCCCCTGACGCGCCTGGGTGGCAGTTCTACCACCCCACCTCTCGCCGTGTTCTGTCCTCCCAGGACGTCACGTTTGACGAGTCGGTCCCCTACTACCGCCTCTTCCCCTACCGCACTCCGTCCCTCCCCCCACCCCCACTCTTCCAGGTACCAGGTCCCCCTCAGGTAGACCCCCTGCCCCCTCAGGGTCCTGCCCCTTCAGGTGTGTCCCAGGTAGACGCAGTCGAGCCTGTCGAGGTCACTGGTGACTCTGGTGCTGCTGAGGGTGCTGAGCCTGGGGGTACTGAGCCCGGGGGTGCTGAGCCTGGGGGTGCTACGCCTGGGGGTGCTTTGCCTGGGGGTGCCGGGCCTGGGGGTGCTGAGCCTGGAGGTGCTCCGCCTGGAGGTTCTTCGGATGCTTCGTCTCGCAGGGAGCCACTTTCTCCACAGGAGCTGCGCGAGTAGTTTGCCCGGCGCTGGAGCCGTGCTGCTGGTGCTGGAGGTTCTTCCGCTACTGGGGGTGCTGAGCCTAGGGGTGCTGTGCCTGGGGGTGCTGAGCCTGGGGGTGCTACGCCTGGGGGTGCTGGGCCTGGGGGTGCTGGCTCTGGGGGTGCTGAGCCTGGGGGTGCTGAGCCTGGGGGTGCTTTGCTAGGGGGTGCTGGACCTGGGGGTGCTGTGCCTGGAGGTGCTCCGCGTGGAGGTTCTCCTGGTGCTTCGTCTCGCCGGGAGCCACTCTCTCCACAGGAGCTGCGCGAGTGGTTTGCCCAGCGCTGGAGCCGTGCTGCTGGTGCTGGAGGTTCGTCGGCTACTGAGGGTGCTGCTGTCGCGGGTCCCGGAGGTGCTCGTCCTGGGAGTACTGGAGCTGCTGGGCCTGCAGGTTCGACTGGAGTTGGTGCTGCTGAGGGTGTTGGCGCTGAGACTACCACTGGCGGTCCTGCTGGGGGTGCTCCTGGTGCTGCTGGAGGTTCTGGAGCTGCTGGAGGTGCTGTTGGGGGTTCTGAAGCTGCTGGAGGTGCTGCTGGAGGTGCTGGAGCTACTGGAGGTGCTGCTGGAGCGGGTACTCCTGCTGGGGGTCCTGGTGCTGTCCCTGCTGTTTCTGGCGTCGCCACGCGGCCTCGACCGTACTTCGTTCCACTCCTGCAGCAGGTTCTTGGTCTTACACCTTCTACTGGTCCTCCTCCTCCTCCCTTAGAGGGTCCACAGCCTGTCCAGTCACAGTCACAGCTACAGCCTGCCTCCCCTTTGCCTGCTCCTTCTCCCTACGCTGGTCCTACTGGAGGTCTTACTGAGCGTCGTGAGCCTGCGTCTCGTCCTGCGTCGCCTGTTCGTGCTGCGCGCGCTAGTGGTCGCGGTTCGCGTCAGCGTCCTCCTCCTGTCCCTGGCACGCACCGGATGTCTCTGCGTCCGTCCACTGCTCCTCTACGTGCCCCTTTGCCTTCTCCTCCTGCGTCCTCTCTTCCTGCTCTTGCCGACCCGGAGTCGGACTCTCTTCGTGCTGCCAGTCCTACTGTCACGCGTCTCCTTGCTACTGCCGTCACTGACCCTTCTTTCGAGTCTACTGCTGCGTCGGCCCTTGTTACTGAGCTCGTCGACTTTGCTGCTCGCTGTCGCCTAGACTACGCTGCGAGTCTTGTCGCTGAGTCTGAGTCTGTCTGTCCTCCGTCCGTCGGGGGTGAGTGTGCCCTTGGCACGGACGTCCTTGAGGACAAGCAGGAGGAGTTCCAGTGTCTGGCCGCTGCTTCACCTCATCTCGTGTCCGTACTGCTTACCCTTGAGGGAGACCCGGATGCACTTGACATCCCGACTCCGCGCTCTTACGCGGAGGCGATAGAGGGTCCCTACTCCTCTCAGTGGCAGGCAGCTATGGATGCAGAGATGGCTTCCTGGAAGTCCACAGGCACCTACGTTGACGCTGTCCCCCCTCCTGGGGCGAACATCGTCAGTGGCATGTGGATCTTCAGGGTGAAGCGGCCGCCGGGTTCTCCGCCTGTCTTCAAGGCGCGTTACGTGGCTCGTGGCTTCAGTCAGCGGCAGGGAGTTGACTACTTTCATACCTTCTCCCCTACCCCGAAGATGACCACTCTTCGGGTACTGCTGCACGTTGCTGCTCACCGTGACTATGAGCTGCACTCTCTCGACTTCAGCACTGCTTTCTTGCAGGGCAGCCTGCACGAGGAGATCTGGCTGCGCCGCCCACCTGGCTTCACTGGGTCGTTCCCTCCTGGTACCCAGTGGAGTCTCCGGCGTCCAGTCTACGGTCTCCGCCAGGCGCCACGTGAGTGGCACGACACACTGAGGACTACACTGGCGGCACTTGGGTTTGCTCCTTCTACTGCCGACCCGTCGCTGTTTCTGCGCACCGACACCTCTCTGCCGCCGTTCTACATCTTCGTGTACGTCGACGACTTGGTCTTTGCCACAGCTGACACTGCTGGACTCGCCTACGTGAAGTCCGAGCTGCAGAAGAGACACACGTGCACTGACCTGGGTGAACTGCGCAGCTACCTTGGCTTGCAGATCACCCGGGACAGAGCACGCCGCACCATTACCCTGACTCAGTCACACATGGTGCAGCAGGTCCTTCAGCGCTTCGGCTTCACGTACTCCTCGCCTCAGGCCACTCCTCTGCCTACTCGCCACTCGCTCTCAGCTCTGCCTTCGGATGAGTCCGTAGAGTCGAGTGGCCCGTATCCAGAGCTTGTTGGCTGCCTCATGTACCTGATGACCTGCACACGACCTGACCTTGCATACCCTCTTAGCATTCTCGCACGCTATGTTGCTCCTGGGAGACACCGACCAGAGCACATGGCTGCAGCGAAGAGGGTGTTGCGCTACTTGTGCAGTACGTCGGGCATGGGGCTAGTGCTTGGAGGGCGGAGTCCAGTGGTCCTCACTGGGCACGCGGACGCCTCTTGGGCTGACGACCAGGCTACGCAGCGGTCGTCACAGGGTTACACTTTCAGTCTTGGTTCCGGCTCTGTTTCGTGGCGGGCTACCCGCTCGTCTTCTGTTCTCGGCTCCAGTTGTGAGGCTGAGATCTACGCCGGGGCTATGGCTGCCCAGGAGCTTCGCTGGCTCACCTACCTGCTGACCGACCTTGGAGAGCCGCCTCGTTCTCCTCCTGTGCTGTACGTAGACAACAAGGCCATGCTGACCTTGTTTCGAGAGCAGCGACTGGAGCACAGAACAAAGCACATTGCTCTCCGCTACTTTCTTGCTCGTGAGCTACAGCAGCGTGGACAGTTGCGGCTTGCGTACGTGGCCTCTGAGGCCAACACTGCTGATGTCTTCACCAAGGCACTTGCGCCTTGTGATCATCAGCGCTTCTGCACTCAGCTGGGTCTTGTGCCTGTCTTGCCTCACTTGCTCACTTCTTGACCTTGCTTGTACTGTCACATATATATACTCTTGCTCTTGCTTGCTTAGCCTCTTGTATATATATATATATATGTGATCTTGCATGTGAACTGGCCTTCTGGCCTTTGAACTTGTGCTCGGAATGTGTGGTGACTTTGTGATCCACCCTGAGCTTTGCTTTGCTTTGCTTGACTGGTCTTGTGACCCCTTGTTGTCCCCCACTTTGCCTATGGGGGTTTGTGAGAACATTATAGCTTATATATTTGTGTAGGCTATAGTGGGGTATCCCATAGGGGGTACAACCCAATCAGGGTTTCCTATATGTACTCACTTCATTCATAGTTCATTCATTCTCGTTCTAGTTTCTTTCACATCGGTGTAGTAAATCCATTCGAGAGCCGGTCCACGTAACAGTGTCGCTGCGAGCCGAATCCTTGCTGCGTCGTGTTGCGGGTCGAACAGCCAATGGCCTCGAAGTAAATTTCGAGGGTGGCCACGAATCGCCAGACGTCGGATCCCTTCGCGCTTGGATCGAACGCCTCCGGGAGCCTCGGTCGTGCTGCTTCGAGGTTCGGCGACAGTGGTGCCATTGGTCCGTGAAATGTCGGTGTCGCCTCTACTGCTGGAGTTGTCGGTGCTGCAGTCGCTGTGGTCGCTGCTGCTGTGGCGGCTGCCGACTGGTTCGCGAGAAGCGCCTCTATTCGCTGGAGTGCGGCTCGCGTCTGGTCCAAGCCGGTGTGTAACTCCGTAATTTTCCGTACGGAATTATCACCGTTTTCCTCCATTTGGCGATTTATAGGAAGATTTGCGACGAAAATAAATAAATTTTAGGCGCTGGTCATCTTACTTTGAGTCGAGTTGACTGCAGAAATGACGAGGGCTGATTCTTTTTTTTTTTTTTTTTTTTGAAGGATGCATTACACTTATAAAGTGGGTACATCCACAGTCGTAACTGTAGGGGGGAAGGGACCAGGCAACCAGGAGGTCTGCACCGCCCTTCCTTTACCAACTAAGGTGGGTGAAAGACAGTTCTCGGGTTGGCCCACACCGATCTGAACTCCTCCTTCCACGTCAGCGTGTCCTCGTCCTGAAAAATCCGGCTCAACAGCATAGCCTCGTCCCTCGCCAGATGGGGCCAGCATTGTCCCGCCCCACTTGCCTCCTCTTTTGTCGCTTGTTTCTTGTAGGTACTGTAGATTCTGACGTGTTTCATAAAATTCACCCCAATCTTCCTGAGGACTCTCCGCGGTTGAAACTTGTCCTGCCGGAAAGCTGCCTCACACCGCTCGAGCCATATCCGATGGAAAGCCACCGCAATCAGCGGCTTTTCAGGGAAGCCAGATGACGTGCCATCTGCGGCAAACAGAAAGTCCTCCAGCCTTTCCACCTCCCTTGTCGGATTCATCTGCTTCAACGCCCCTTTAAGCGCGCCAATGACAGGTTGTATGCTGTCGCACTCCAGCAAACAGTGTCCTAGGGTTTCATCTTCCTTGCAGTGCGGGCAGCTGATGCGATCACGCATGAAGTGTAACCTGTCGCCAACTTGGAGGTTCTTACTGTGCAACCTCAGAATGACTTCTCTTGCCCTGCCCGGAGTGACCAGTGTGTCCCGTTTCCTGATAGACTCCTTCCAGTCAATCGGCTTCCCATACTCCTGCTCCCACTTCTTCTGCTGCTTCGGCTGTTTGACTGGCCCTCTCAGCTCCGCTCTCAACTTTTTCAGAGGAGCGCCTTTGCCCTTCGCACATAGCACCGACGTCCTGAGCCGTGTGAGAGGAAGGCCCCCTTCCCCCATCAGCACCCCATTTTCCACCACCAGCGGGGTTAGCCTGTGTACCGCAAGCCGCACCTGACCAGCCCTGTCTGATAGCAGCACCTCTCCTTTCTTCCCCACCGCAGCTGATTTGCCAAGAATCTCGTCGCCGTCACGTGCTATTAGTTGCCAGTACATCTCTCTCCCTGCCAAGGAGCGCGTGCTGGCAAATCGAGTTGTTTTTAGCACCTCTTCGCCTGTCAGTTTTTCCAGCAGTGCCGCTTTCCATTCGTCCGGCGCCGCTTTCCATGCCTTCAGCGCCCACCGCGCCGTCACAGAGCTACCTGTTTCTTTGGTCAGGGTCCACACATCTTTAACCTTCCGTGATCCGTCCCACTCCGCTTGAATCAGGTCACCCAGCTTCATTTCCAGCAAACACTCAGAGCCCTTTTGTCGCCCGAATGGGCTTTTACCTCTGTAGAAAATGTATCTGCTGAAACAGAGTCTCTCATTTGCATACTCCCAACGATTCGCCGGTGCCTGTACCTTCGACTGCAGAGTCTGCCAGAAGGTTATCACCGTCCTTCTCCATTTTTCCCCTCCCTTAGTCCACACTCTCAGGGCCGACCGATGTGCTAATGGCGTTGACCATCCTAGTGGCATCCCCGCTGCTCTCTCCATCAGCCATCGTTTCATCGGGTCCTTTTGCTGTACTGCAACTCCAAGGTTTTTAAGCGCCATACACTCCATCCGGACCGTTGGATTAATGACCCCCAGTCCCCCCTCTTTCCTGCTCGTGTAGGCCAGGTCCCCGCTCCAGAGGACGAAATGTCGGTCAGCCGATGCCTTCCCACTGGACGTGAAGTTGTGACTGGTCGCGCGGAACTCTTTCCATGTCCCCCGGGGAGGTGGATAGACTTGAGCTTGGAAGAGGAGAATCGGCGTGGCATACGAGTTGAGCACCGTGACACGCGTCGATGTATTAATGTGCTGATTCTGCCACTTCACCATCACCTCCCCTGCTCTGTCAGCCGCCTTCTCCCATGACGGCGTCGGGTCTCCACCCGGCGTTATCCAGACACCCAGCAACCTCTGCGGCTCATTTTTTCCTGCCCAGGGGTAAGGCGCATCTGCCGGTGGAGGTACGTCCTGATTCTTCCCCAGCGGGACAACCACCGTCTTATCCTTGTTGACTTTGAGCCCGGACAGCTCACCAAACTCCTCCAGCAGCTCACACGCTCTTCCAACTTGCTCTTTCCTGTTCAGCACCACCGTCGTATCATCCGCATATCCCAAATATGCCACATCACCGATTCCACGCTTCCATACACCCAGCCGCCGTCTCTTTATCTCCTGACTGAGTGGCTCAGCTGCGCAGATGAAGAGGTATGGTGCTAGCGGACAGCCCTGGCGCACTCCTCTCTCCATCCCCACCCGTTCTCCCAACCATCCGTTGATCAGCAGCTGCGTTCCCGACTGATCATGCAGACCCTTCGTCCAGTTCACATATTCTTCCGGGAAACCCATGCGCTCCAAAGTCTGAAACATGTAGTCTCTGGAGATTGAGTCATACGCTTTCTGAAAATCGACCAAGAGAAGGTACCAATCTGCTCTCCCCGCTGCTGCCGCGTCGACCACATCAGCCACAACGTTGACTGCATCTGCCAGCTTCCTTCCTGGTATGAAACCATACTGGTGCTCCGAGATCACCATCGGTAAAACCTTCTTGATTCTGTTCGCCAGCACTTTCGCCACGATTTTGTATGCTGCACTTAGTAGCGTTATGGGTCTGTAGTTTTCTAATTTCCCCTTGTCCCCTTTCTTGTGCAGCAGTATGGTCACCGCCGTTGTCATTTGCGACGGGAGCGCCGCAGAGGCTTCAAACTCCTTGATGAAACGAAGGAAAGGCCGGCCAAGCATGTCCCAGTTCTCCTCAATGAACTCCTTGGGGAGACCATCCAACCCCGGCGCCTTTCCTTTCGGTAGCTGCTTGATCGCCGCCAAAACCTCTTCTTCCGACCAGGAGGCCCTCAGCATCTCTTTTTCCAGCACCCCAAGGACCTTGTTCGGGTCAACACGCCAAGCTTCCTTCACCACGCCCTCCTGCGCAGCAAAAGCCTCTGTAAAGTACCTTGAAGCTGCGGTAAGTACTTCTCTTTCCCCAGCAAAGCACTCTCCCTTGTAGGTGACTTCCTCTATCACCGTTTGCGCCTTCCTCGTCACAATCCGTCCAGAAAGAACTTTGGAGGAAATTTCCCCGAAGACCTCCTGTTGAGCACCCGCCATAGTCTGCAGCTGCGACCGCTGCCTTTCTCGGTAAGCTTTGAGCATTGACCCGTACTTCACCAGCTGCTCGTAGCTCTCCGTATCCCCCGTTCCATTCATGAACTCATATTCCAGCCGTGTCACCGCCTCCTCTAAACTTAAAACTGTTTTTTTGACACGCTTCCTCTCTTCCCTCGAGTGCGCTCTGATGCTCGCTTGCAGTTTGACCAGCAGCTGTGAGAAATCGTGAAGCTGCAGATCTTCCTGCTCCTCAAGGACTAGGCCAATCCTCTTCCTGATACCCGGACTCTTGGCTTGGGACGCGTGCATCCGCCACAGTCCCGGTCCTTTACCACCATCAACCTCCACGGAGAGTTCCAGTGATATCGCATACCAGTGATCCGAGATACCATGGGGAACAGATGAGTGGTACGCATCCCCAATCTTGTGAAGAAGCGACTGCGACACCAGTGCTCTATCAATGCGAGTGCGCTCCTTCACCGAGTGCGCGTAAAAGGTATACTCCCGCTTGGTTGGATGAAGCGTCCTGAAGGCATCCTGTAAGTTGAGCGACGACAGGATGTCCAGGAGTTTTTGGTTTTCTTGCGCTGATCCCACCTTCGATGACTTATCAATCCGTGGATCTGCTACAACATTGAGATCGCCGATGAGTATCGTATGAGACACCGGTGGTAGATTGCTGACAAACTCCGTTAAACAATCTCTAAAAAAAACACTTCTGTTCGTTGCCTGCGCAGGAAAGTACGCCGCCAATACCCGCCAGGTCAGACCCTCTCTTTCTACTGTCACCGCGACCAGCCTGCCAGACACATGCGTGCAGACGTCCTTAAACATCACACCTGCCGTGAAACTGAGAACCGCAACCCCCCCCGCTCCTCCTTCAGGTGAGACTGCTGCAAAAGCTGTAGGATTTAGTTGCGTCCAGAAGTTATGGTCTGCTGCTACTCTAGTGTCCGTTAGCACCAAGATATTTGCCGCTGACTTGATCCAGTTCTGATGCGTGTTCCTCTTCTCCACACCGCCTAAACCATTGATGTTCAGCGCGGTAATAACAAACTTGCTCCTTTTATTCATTTGACCACTGCTGAAGACCCCACAGCATCCACGGGTCGGCATAACGTACTGATAAAGAAAATACCACAAACTGCTACTGCTGCGAAGAAGGAGCCTACTAGAAAACACTCGAAAGCCTGCTTAATCTCCGGATGTTCCCCCCCTTCCTGACTGCAGGAGCACAGTCCAGAACATGCTGAAGCCGTACATCCATCTCGTCCGCTTATCACATTCCGTACTCCTTCTTGATGGTAACCAGGTTCACCGCACTCATTGTCACCCTGGTCGCCGAGCCCAGTTCTTCCAGGTGAATCAAATGGTCTGCCGATGTGATGTGGTCCGCAGCAGCCATGAAAGATGAACCCTTCGCCTTTCCGCACCCCGCCTGTGTGCAGATCCATTCCTCCCGATTCCCTCCCGTAGATATAAGCACAATGGCAGGATCCAGAAGGATGGGGGTGACTAGTGGAGACGTGCGAGTGGACGCAGCTGCGACACGGGATCCATTTGTTAGAAACCGGTAAGCAAGAATGACAAAAAAGCGGTGATTGATGTAGATCCACTGTGTTACCATTGATCTTATGCACCCTCCCCAGATTAAGACTCCACTTCCCTATGTTATTCTGGCGTTCGGTGACGAACACATCATGAAACTTTTCATAATGATGTCCGCTACAGAGCGCGCAGGATAGCAGGGGGTAGTGGACCAGAATCTGCCGCGAGGTGTCCATGGGGTTGTTGACTGCATGACGCCAGCGGTGCTGATCACCTGGGTGAGCGATCACCAGACCTTTCACTGTGTCCGTATCCGCTCCCGTGACAGGATGAGACACGCGGTGAAAGCAGAGACCCTTAGCAAAAGCCGGCACTTTGCGGATCTTCAGGGCGTAGCGGCACAGCAAATCTTTCAACAGGTCAGGTGAGACATTAGCCGGGACATCCTTGAAATAAAGCTCAATAATTGCTGGGTTAGAAGCTTTTTCCTTCATGTATGCCGGGTCTTCGGTATGCAGCCAGAAAAGGGTGATCTTTCCTTTCGGCCGCTGATACTCAACCACTTTCAGCCTGACCGCAGCAGCATCCTCTTCTTGCAGGAACGAAACTTGAAGACGGCAGAAATGCTGCTTCGCGATGTACGTCGCTGAGAGGGTTTGCACCGAGGCCGAGTCAACAGCACCAGGAGAGAGAGACGGAGCCCAGACCTTCCGAAGCAGAACCCACACCACGAGGGCTGATTCTGTAGGTCGCGTAATTCTTCCTTAGTTGAAATTCGCGTCTGATCTCGGCCGTTGAGAAGAAATTCGATCCGACGCTCCAAATTCCAACTTTTTTGGGCGAAATTCTCGAGGCCGTTGAGATTCGAATCGATCCGACGGTCAAAATTCCAACTTTTTCGCTACTGGACCTGAGGAGTGTTCGAAAACCGGTTCGAGGGGGACGTTAGAAAATAGCGCGGAACTGGTTTACGTACCCGAAATCGGCTCTTCCCGTCGTCGCCCCCGCGGTTTTAAAAGCTAGGTTTTAGCGTTCGAAAAACTTCGCGTCTAAACAGGCTCTGATTACCAAGTGTGAGGATCTAGGATCGAGTTCAGAAAAGAGAATGAGAATTGAGTCGAATTGAATGTCTTAAACTGGGTACAACACGAGGCTATATATAGGCTCGACACAAGGCCCCGTAACCAGGTGTTACGCGAAGGTTCCGCGGGCCCCGTAGCGTCCCGAACGGATCCTTACCGAATTCGGTAGAAGGCAATTCGGTGGCAACCGAAAAGCCAGAATTCGGTGCACGCAACCTAGCTCGGTGCTATAACTATAATAAAATATAGGAAAGCACCTAGCCTAGGAAATCAAGCAATTCATGCATGCATATAATTATCCTATGCTAGAAATAGCATGATAAAGTAAAGGCAAGCAAGCATAGCTGGCATAAGCCGTCGTACTCTCACAAAGGACGTCCGTGCCAAGAGCACACTCACCCCCGACGGACGGAGGACAGACAGACGCAGACTCAGCAACAAGGCTAGCAGCGTAGTCTAGACGACAGCGAGCAGCAAAGTCGACGAGCTCAGCAACAAGAGCAAACGCAGCAGTGGACTCAAAAGAGGGGTCAGTGACGACAGTAGCAAGGAGACGCGTGATAGTAGGACTGGCAGCACGAAGAGTGTCCGACTCCAGGTCGGCCAGCGCAGGGAGAGAGGACTCAGGAGGAGAAGGCAAAGGGGCACGCAGAGGAGCAGTGGACGGACGCAGAGACATCCGGTGCGTGCCAGGGACAGGAGGAGGACGCTGACGCGAACCGCGACCACTAGCGCGAGAAGCACGAACAGGAAACGCGGGACGAGACGCAGGCTCACGACGCTCAGCAAGACCTCCAGTAGGACCAGTGTAAGGAGAGGGAGCAGGCAGAGGGGAGGCGGGCTCTAACTGTGACTGAGACTGGACAGGCGGTGGATACTCTACAGGAGGAGAAAGACCAAGAACCTGCTGCAGGAGCGGAACAAAGTACGGCCGAGGCCGCGCGGCAACTCCAGACACAGCAGGGACAGCACCAGCACCCTCAGAGGCAGCTCCAGCGCCAACAGCACCTCCAGCTGCAGGACCTCCAGCAGCACCAGCAGCACCCGCAGCAGGACCACCGCCAGGACGGACAGCAGTAGTCTCAGCACCAACACCCTCAGTAGCTCTAGCTCCAGTCGGACCCGCAGGCTCAGCAGCTCCGGGACCGGCGGCACCAGCACCCTCAGCGGCCGAAGAAGCTCCAGCTCCAGCAGTACGGCTCCAGCGGCGAGTAAACCACTCGCGCAGCTCCTGTGGAGAGAGGGGCTCCCGCCGAGACAAAGCACCCGGAGAACCTCCAGACTCAGCACCACCAGACGCCACAAGGGGAGGTCCAGCGACCGCAGGCTCCGCACCTCCAGGCTCAGCAGCTCCAGACGCAGCACCCCCGGGCTCAGCACTCCCAGGCTCAGCACCCCCAGGCTCAGCACCCCCAGGCCCAGCACCCCAAGTTGCAGTACCCCCAGGCTCAGCACCCCCAGTCGCAGTACCCCCAGACTCAGCACCCCCAGGCTCAGCACCCACGCGCGCAGCACCCTCAGAGTCAGCACCCCCAGGCTCTGCACCCGCAGCAGTACCAGAGTCACCAGCAACCTCGACCGGCTCGACTGCATCTACCTAGGACACACCTGAAGGGGCAGGACCCTGAGGGGGAAGGGGGTCTACCGGGGGGGGACCTGGCACGAGGAAGTGCGGTGGCAAGGGGAGGGAAGGAGTGCAGTAGGGGAAGAGGCGGTAGAAGGGGACTGACTCGTCGAACGTGACGTCCTGGGAGGACAAAACACGACGAGAGGAGGGGTGGTAGAACTGCCACCCTGGTGCGTCAGGGGGGAAGCCAAGGAAGACACAGGGAGCAGCACGAGGGGACAGCTTGTCCGCAGACAAGTCGCGGACAAACGCCCGAGATCCCCAGACACGGAACGCAGACGCATCGCCGACCTTCCCCGTCCACAGCAGAGCTGGGTGTCAGAACATTCTAGCTTATGCGGTTGTGTAGGCTATAGTGGGGTATCCCATAGGGGGTACAACCCATTTAGGGTTTCCTATATGTACCCACTTCATTCATAGTTGATTCATTCTCGTTCTCATTCTCACATGGTATCAGAGCAGGTCCCCTCCTAGGGACTGTTCCTTGGGCCCACCGAAGCGCGCCTCGAGTCGCGCCTGCCTTTTTTTTAGCGGCCCGTCGAGTCGCACCTAGCGGCCCGTCGCGCCGCCCTCACGGTCGCATCGAGCCGCCCTAGCGGCTGCGGCGCGCCGCCTTTTTTTCCCGGCCCGTCGCCGCCCTTACCCGCGGCTTTGCGCCGCCCTCACCTGCGGCCTCGCGTCGCCCAGGCCCGTCGCCGCCCTTCTCGCGGCTTCGCGCCGCCTCTACCTGCGGCTTCGAGCCGCCCCGGCCCGTCGCCGCCCTTACCTGCGGCTTCGCGCCGCCCCGGCCCGTCGCCGCCCTTACCCGCGGCTTCGCACCGCCCTTGCACCGGCTCGTCGCC